CTCAGATGGCCTAGCCATGAACTCGCATCCTCTTGCATTATGTAGTTAGCATCAGTATTCTGTATTTTAACTCTTGTAAGTAAGCCTGAGCTTAGCATGAGTTTCAGAGTCATCAGTACTAAGAATGCTGAGGATTGGCCACCACAGCATTAAGAACTTTATGACTTTAAATATACTAACTGTAATCCAGAACTATAGTCCATGTTCAAATATTTTGCAGCAAAGCTATAAATGTACAGGAGTAGGAGTACATTGGTGTAACATGCACCACAAGCAAATATTCTGGAAATTCAAGAGTTGTCCTCCCTTTCTTGAAACTGAACACACCCTGTAGAACAGTGGCTCCCAACCTTTTTTTGCAACAACCCTAAATCTGGGTCATGACCCCCACCCCTGCCACCGACTCACTCGTGCCTGGTGGTGCCAGCAGGGCCCAGGCTGGGCTGGGATCATGGGGGGCAGCAGCTGTGAGAGCTGTGTGGACCATGCTTCGAGAGAGCCCTGCAGGTGGGAGGGGCACAGCAAGGGGCGGAACCCCCCCTCCCCCACAACCCTAATTTGGGTTGCGACCTGAGGTTGGGAGCCACTGCTGTAGAATATGGTATCATTCAGAAAAGTAGCTATATTAGCTGTCAATCAGGATTCCCTCCCTTTTTGCATGGTAACATCCCATGCAGTAACCAGTGTGGTGGACAGCACTAACTGAAGGTTCTGCTTGTTGCTACAGCACTGTTACTTCTGGTTTCACCTCCAAAAACATCCTCTGGGAACACTCCCTACTATCCACTGGAACAATATCCTCAGCAGATTATAATTGCTCAAGTAGTGAAGAGTTTCCAAAAGAGCTGAGCCTAAGAGAGAAACTGGAAAAGATGCATGAAGGACAGTAACTGAATTATTTCCTGTTGTTGAGGGGTTGTAGGAACATGACTTTATGACAGTAGCAAGTCACTGACTTAGAGAATTGTTTTAAATTTCTCAGTCTGTTGCTAACTTTGTATGATTCTTGATGGATCACAGTCTTTCTCTGCATCCCAGGCTATGATCTTGAAAAACACTACCTTTGATAATGTTTTCACTTGGAATAATATGATTATGTGTATTGTTCATATCAAATGTTAAGTGTTGGAAAAAAGATGGCTGTTTGCTGATTGGAGCATTTGTAATAAAAATCCTTAAATGTATTTTGTTCAGCTGTTTGAGGCAACAAGACTATTATAAATAATTCTCTGATGTATAATTTAGTTGAGTCTGGATTGAATAGTCTTTTAAACTATCAGTCGTGTTTTCAAAACTATATCATTCTTACTAAAATGTTATTGATGCAGATCCAGCCTGTGACAATACCTGGAAAGAGTATGAATGTTTCAGAGAACTGGCTATTCAATCATTCCTCATTAGCATCTCAAGTTCATGCTGCTGCTGTTAATGGAGATAAGAGCACCCTCCAAAAGCTAATAGCAGGTAAATGTTTTCTTTACAAGAGTGCGTCTTAATGATTTAAAATCTCAGGCTTTTGCTGTTTTTAATTCCCAGTATTACTTTCCTTGATCTGATCTTAAAATGGAAGTACACTCCATAAAAATTGGATGCATTTTATACAGGTGTTATTATCTACTGCCTTTGCTTGATGTTGTTAAGCAAAAATGTGCAATAAAGATCTATCACTGTAATTAAGTAGTTGATATGATTAAGGAGTATATTATTTGAAGACTCCTGTTCCATGGAATTTAATATTCTGAAAAAATTGCCCTTTGGGCTGAAATTTCAGCTTGTTCTCAGTCAGGAGAATCTTCTTTTATGGGAGGTTTGGTAACAGTTTCTCCAGCCAAGTCCTCTGTGTACAAAGGTCAGTGTTTTCTTACTGCAAAAAAATCTCAAGAAGCAAAAAACCCTGTTTGTTAATTAGTATCTATAGTGTGCTATGTCAGTTTAAACACAGAGAAGACACAACGGGAAATTTTGGTGTCTCTGAATTCAGTGGATTTGGGATTTCATCCTCCATTTTTTTTCCCAAGGAACATACAGCCTATAGTTTATTATTTTAAAATGTGGCAAATATTTTGCACTTAGGAAATTTAATTTTGTTAAATTTTCTTTTACAACTTTTATCCTTGGCTTTGGGTTTCAGTCTCTAAGATTCCTAAATTGCAGCTCCTGTTGAGACAATGGAAGTTCCACTTGCTCAATACTTCAGAGGGCCAGACGAAGTTTTTGGACCTCAGTGAAGGTGAAGACCTTTGAAGTACCACAGTATTGAAGTTTAGAGTCACAAAAAGACTTTTACAGACCCAGCTTTTGGAGTAACATTCAGGATTGTATATAGAACCTGAATGCTTGACTCGGGATTGTGCATATCACTTCAAGATTTGGATGCCTAAAAGTCCCTAGGAATGGGATTCGTGATGGCCTAGCCTTAGTGCTTAAGTTGTCCTTTTGAGTACAGATGATTGGCTTGCTTTTTTTGGATACAACCAGAAGAGGCAGAGAAGTGCTTGCACCCATCCTTCATATGAGTGTTGTCCAGCTGGTGGCCCAGAGCCTCATGTGGCATTCCTACCAAATTGGGCTTCTCACAGAGCTTACATATGGGGGAGATGTTTATTGTTTTTGATTGGGCTCAAGTGGAAGATGGGCAGGATTTAGGTGCCTAAACTTTTTTATCAGAAAACAAGTAGAGGTGCACCGATACATCGGTCCCATATCGTACTGGCATCAATATAATGACCCTCTGGGTCAAGATACAAGGGGACTCAGGAGAGGGGGACCTGATGTTGAGAGTCTACTATAGACCTTCCTACAAAGAAGAGGAAAGTGATCAAGTACTCTCCAGGGAACTGACTGAGGCAGCCAGCACTAAAGACCTGCTTGTCATGGGTGACTTCAACCACCCTGATATCTGTTGGGAAGACCATTCAGCCAGCTTCAGCAGGTCGGCCAACTTCCTGGCAGCTATTGATGACCTGTTCTTGACACAGGCTATGGAAAGACTGACTAGGGATAAAGCCACTGGACTTAGTGCTGACCAAAGGGGAAGACATGGTAGGTGACTTGAAGATTGGCAGTCCTCTGGGCGAGAGTGATCGTGCCTTGATTAGGTTCCCCATCCACCGAAAAACTGGGAATTCAGTCAGTAGAACAGAAGTCCTAGACTTCAGAAGTCCAGATTTTGGTAAACTCAGGAGACTACTCAGAAAGGCCCTCCATAACCAGCGACTGGATGATTCAGAAGTTCAGGATTGGTGTTGCTTCCTTAAGGGGGCAGGTCTCATGCTCAAAAAGAGGTCATCCCCATACAGTCAAAAAGCGGGAGAGGGGCAAAGAGACCAGCTTGGCTCATATTAGGGAATTTCTGAAAAAGAAAAAATCAGCATATAAGTGGTGGAGAAATAGTTCAGCATCCAGAGAGGAGTACAAACTTATGGCCAGGGTTTGCAGGTATGAGACACGGAAAGCCAAGGCAGGCATGGAGAGCATGCTGGCAACCGAAATAAAGGACAACAAAAAGTCCTTCTATAGCTACGTAGGGAGCAAGAAAAAATCAAGCTCCACTGTCTTACTTAATACAGGGGAGCAGCCCACAGTTGATCCCTGTGAAAAGGCAGAGCTCCTAAATACTTACTTCACATCGGTATTCCTGAAATCAGACAGTAGATGTTCACTTGTCCAGAGGCCCAAGAAAGATGGGGAAGACAACGTTCCACATGAAATCAGTCCTGAATAAGAGTGAGGGTACTCTTAGAACATTTGGATGCATTCAAGTCTGCTGGGCCAGATGACCTGCATCCGAGAGTCCTGAAAGAACTGGCTGAGCACATAGCAGGGCCCCTGGCGAAGCTGTTTGAAGAGTTGTGGAATTCAGGAGTGGTCCTGAACAACTGGAAGAGAGCTAACATGGTACCCATCTGTAAGAAAGGGAAGTGTGATGACCTTGCAAACTACAGACCGGTCAGTCTGACCTCGGTCCTGGGAAACATCTTTGAAAAAATTGTCAAGGGGGCTGGGGCTGGGGTTGCCCAGCCAGGATGGGTCAGAGCACAGCTCTGGACGGAGCTGGAAATAGCTCATCTGGGGGGTATGGGGGTCTCCCACCACTGTTTGCACCCCAGGAGGGCATGGGGGTGTGTACCACTGTGGGTTGGGGCCCAGGGCTGTGCCAAGCTCTTCTTGGCGAGGGAGTTAAGCTGGGGCTATGTTCGGCGTAGGCGGCAGTAGTGCTGGAGGGTAGCTATGGTCAGGTTCTACAGCCACCCCAAAATTCACCGTAGCCCCCGCTCCCAGCACTGCTACCACTGCCCACCCCAAGTGCACCCTGGCCCAACCCCCCCC